AGGGACCTCTCGAAACGAGGCTGGGAGAGCGGCCGGGGCCTTGAGCCTCTGTGCTGGAGGAGATGCAGAGCCGGTACCTGCCCTGGCCAGGGTAGAAGTGGACAGGAAGATGAGATGAACAGAATTTCCTTCCACCCTCAGTCCTGAAGGAGAATTGCCAGGTGGGGAGAGGTGGTTTAGCTGCACTGTCTTAGCTCTTTCCTGAAAGTTCCCTTTCCCTAGATGTTTTTATCAGTCCCAGTGGCCATCTCTCTGATACCAGGGACATTGTGTGCTGCCACTGGCTACATCATGGTCGTGGGGTGCTCAGGGCCTGAGATTTATTTCCCAAGGATGTTAGCTGGAGGCAGTTTGACTTCGGAGTTCATGCTCATAATTGCCCTGCAGTGCTTCTCTACTCTGAGGCCCAGTCCCAATGAATGACAGAAGCATCCCAGAGATGCCAATCTAACCAAGTTTTCAGGTATAACTTGCTCCTATCCACAGAGATGGAACTTTTGTCCCTATTAAAGCTGTAACATTGTAAACAGCATCTTAATACTGGCAGTAACCACAGTATTCCTCTTATGGGAGCTACAGAGAGAAATTGGGGAGAGGTTGCTGTTTTTTCACAAGCCTCCTCTTGTGGCTTCAGTCTCTCCTGGAGTGATGGTGATGGATTCCTGACTCTCCTGGAAAGGTCTTGGGAATGGTAGGGAGAGGGGGCAGAGCTGAGAAGGCCCAGACAGCATTTATGAACCAGAGATGGAATGGTTGGTCAGGGAAGTAGCTGACCCATGACAGAGCAGTGCATTTGAAGCAGTTCAGGCATGTGCAGTACTGCCTCAGGTCATGGAAGATGACAGGTGAAAGGACACTGGACTTGTCAGGAAAGAAGATTGTTGGCATCCTTGGGCAGAGCCCTGGGAGCAGAAACCAAATGGCCGTGGGGTGGGGAGGAGGAGATGGCACTTAAGCAAGCCACTTTCCTGAACCTCATGGATGGCTGTGAGAAGAACGTAAGAAAACAAGGGAAGCACACACCAGTGCTCAGTTCCCTTCATCACGCAGTGGCAGGAGCACAGGTATGGCAGTGGCAGCTGTGGGTCAGCCACTGGCGTAGGTCGTGAAGAGCTCTAGTCCATGTCTCACTCAGGGGCCCCTGCTTTACTTTTCTTGTTATTCTCAAGGCTGAAACCTTCCTACTTCCTTTCTTTAGGCCGAAATCAACAGACAATGACTCTGACTGACCTGGGAGCCCAAGGCCGTAATGCCCCTTTACCAGTGCGGATGTGAGAACAGTTTCTAGTGCCACCCCTTGCCACCCCAAAGCCACTCGGGGCTGCTCACAGGTTCCCACTCCCATATTCAGCTCCTGCTCATTTCCAGCACTGAGGATTGCCCCATCTCTTTCAACATCAACTCTGCATTTAGACAATTCATGTTCCATTTATCCAGCAAATTCTAGATAACGGAAGGGTGGGCCATGCTAGCCCATTGTCGTGTGGAAGCAGAAGTCTGGTGTATTTCATTCAGGTTTCTTTTTTCTTTGTCTTTTTTCTCATCAGTGAGGTAGATGGTTCATTCAGGTTTCTTTAAATGAAAGAGTATCAGTTTAATTTTTCTTGACAGAAGAAAAAGGAGCTAAGCAGAAACTGAAAGATTGCTGATTATTAGATGAATGTATATTCAAAGCAAAGTATATTTTGAAGACTTCCTCTAAAGTTAAAAAAATTGTAAAAGCAATTAAGAGGCACATATGTATATTTAAAGCTATATCCCTGTGAGCAGATGCAAGCTGTTTTCAGGTAGTAATAGTCATTTTAAACTTAAAAATCAGAAGATATCACTTACTTCCAACACAAAAACCAACATCCTACTCCTCTTCTTTTAAATTAAGAAAAATAACAAGGCTTAAAATGTAAGCTTACTTTTATAATACTCATTCCAGCTGATCTAATCAAAATATCCTGTAAAAATGACAGATTACACTTGGGAAGGAGAACAAACTTTTCACAATAGGGAATGGGTACTGGAGGAAGACAGGCCTGGACTTGAACCTTAATTCTGCCACGTACGGGCTTAGTGATCTTGGGTAGTTGAGTGTCATAGTCTCCGTTTCCTCATCTGTAAAGTAAAGTAAATACTCATCAGGTTTGGAGGAGTGTTAGAGACAATGCAGGTCCATTGTTAAGCACTGTGCCTGGTTCAGGTTCAAGGGCTCCTAATAGTACCCCTCCGTACCCCCAGTTCTGAACCAGTGAGGCATATGAAGAGTAACCTGTTGCCTTTCTGCTAGTCACAGGGTAGGATGGAGTGACACTGGAGTTCTTCAGGCTAAGGGCTAGTTAGACTTTCCTTCCTGCTCCCAGGCAGCATGGGCTGGCTGCAGCATCTCCTCAGGGGGCCTGTCCCCCACAATGCTGCAGGCTGGTAAGAGCAGAGCGGACTGCACCCTGTGGAGGAGGAGGTGCTGTGTGCCTACATGTGTTCCCACATCTTTCATTTGGTGAACTCTGCACCTCAGGGAACACCCCTCAGGACACCAGAAACACAGGGACAAATGTTCCCTCCAGCGCCTGATCCATCGTAGGGACTCAGTGAGTGAGTGCCTGTGATGGTGATACCATCTAAAGCACTCAGGACATCTGTGGGATGAACTTGAAGAGTGCCAGGATATAAATGGGGAGGTGTTGGAGGTAGATGGGCATCTTGTCTTTATTTCTGAAAATTGTGCATGTACGTGAGCGGGTGACTTTAAGGAGAGGCCTGGATGAATATATCTAAATAGCTAACAGTACTTATCTGTTGAACTTTTGGGGATTTTTAAGTTTTTCTCAGCATAGTTTTAGTTTTATATCTTGAAAAGTAACTAGTTAAAAGTAATTCTTATAAATAGGTGACAGATTATTTTAAACCAAGTTAGTGGGACTTTAACTCAGAAGAACGTTCTCAGTTACTGCCACCGGGCAGTGGCTATACGTGCTGTGTCGTGGCCACACTGAGTGGGCCACTGCTGCAGAAGCTGTGCTGCCAGACCAGTTGGCACATCTTGTGCTCAGCTTCTCATTGTCATCAGTTAGTGGCATGCGAATCCCGTTCCCTTTTCATCACTGGAAGCGTTACATCCAATGGTCAAGTAGTTTATTAGCCTTTTTCGCGTGGTTTCAAATTGCTGTAACAGATTCAAAAATAGTGTTTCCAAGCAGGAAACTTGATTTCTCATGTTCCTTCTCATAGGCAGGTGGTGGCTGCACCCCTCATTCTCCAGAAGCCTAGCTACTGTGCCTTATCCGTGTGCCCCTGTGGGTGGGAGACAGGCCGTGTGCACACATGCCTTCTGTTTCTGTCTCCCTGCTGGACCTGTCACGGTCACATCCAACCTCAGGGGACTCTAGGAAATGTAGTCATTAGCTGGGTAGCCATGTGTCTACTAAAATCTCAAGTGGGATTGCTGTCACTCAAAGGAAGCAGGGATGCTGGGCAGTGTTATTCTCTGCCACAGTTTACCCCACTGGCCACCCTTCATCCCAGCCAGACTCTGGTGGCGCCAGTGCAGCTTCCCACAGTCACAGTCTAAACTCAGACAGTCCCAGCCTCCCGAGTGCTATCTCCAACACCCAGTGAAAGAGCTGGGTGACCAGGGTCGTTGAAGAGACCCACCCATCAAGCAAGGGGAAGAGCCCCAGACCCACCACAGTCGCTGGTCCTCAGCTGCAATGGATCACAGTGGAATTTGCACATGTCCTGATGGGAGGTACAAAAGTGAAGCAGTACTAGGACATGTGGCCCAGCAGTCACACTACTGATGGGCACCCCATAGAAATGAGGGCCCATCTGCCAGAAGACAGGACAGGAGCCTTTATAGGGGCTTATTCATGGCCCCAACTACAAACCACCCAGGTGTCTGTGCCTGGGAAGGTGGAACGTGAACTGTGATGTATCCACGTAGGAGGGACTTTCAGAGGCACAATATTGAGTGTTAGCAGATATCTCTGGGGTGATGAAAATGTTCTGGAACCAGTTAGTTGGTGGTGATATTGCCACAACTGTAGAAATGTTCTAGAAAATACTGAATCATGCACTTTATTATTTTTTTAATGTTTTTATTCAAAGGGAGGAAAGGAGAGGGGGAGAGAGATAGAAACATCTATAATGAGATAGAGTCACCAACTGGCTGCCTTCTCTACACACCCCATGGGGAATGAGCCTGCAACCAGGCATGTGCCCTGACCAGGAATCGAACTGTGACCTCCTGGTTCATAGGTCGACACCAATGACAGCCATGCCAGCAAGGTTGAATTGTGCATTTTAAAATGGTGAGTTTTATGGTATGTGAAATGTATTTCAATAAAAGTGGGCACATTTTGAGAAAAGCAGAAGAGAACATACTGTATGATTCCATGTAAATAAAATTTTAAAATGGGATGAACTCACCTATAGTAAGAGAAATGGTTACCATGGGGGGGGAGCCTTTCTGGCCACAGATGTGGTCTGTGTTGACCAGGGCTATGGTTCCTCAGGTGTACGTGATGACTTCATCAGGATGTTGCACTTTATGGAAATTGTAGCTCAGGTAAAAAAAACCATGTTGGAAGGGTGCCCTGTGGTAACAGCAATGCACACATCACCTGGTCACAGCACTCTCCTTACCGTGCTCTGTCCTCTGATGCATCCTTGTGCTTGGCAGCCACATAGGAAGTGGGTTTGCAGCGGCCCTGTTTCCTACCAGTGCATATTGGGGTCGAGCAGTGACCTTGTGGCAGCATCCAGATGGAGCTCCCTGAAAGTGGAGTCAACTGGGGAGAGCTCTCAGGTGATGCACCTGTGAAGGCAGGATTGGGCAGTGGGATTCAAACAGCTGTGGCTGATCCCAGGGGGCTATCTTCCAGGCATCACTGGGGTAAGGGAGGCCCTCCAAGATTCCTGGCCCTTAATGTGCACAGCACCCAGCTGTCATGGAGGGATTTTGCTACTGTAATTAAGGTGCCAAGTCAGCTGCCATAGGAGCCTTTGAGAAGCAGGGTTTTCTGCAGCTTGTCACTGAAGACACAGCAGAGAGGAATCAATGAGTTCCTGTCTGGAGGATACAGGTGGCCCTGAGGAACTGACCGCCAGCAAGGAAACAGATGCTGGCCTGCGACTACAAGGGACTGAATTCTGTCAACAATACGAGTTTGAAAATGGATTTTCCCAGAGCTTCCAGATGAGCCCTCAGCCTTGATGACACCTGTGACCTTGAGCAAAGTCCCAGTCATGTTGGGTTGACTTTTGGCCTACAGCATTGAGGTGACAGGTGTGTGCTGTTTTCTGCTGCTAAACTTGTGAATTGCTATGCAGAGATGGATAGCTCCATGTGGGCCTTCCTGTGAGAGGGCACAGCCTTGGGGGAGACAGATTCTAGTCCGAGAATTCTAGAGCTGCAGGGAGGGTGTTACTCTGATATCCCAGAGACCATCAGTGTCTTGAGTCTCCCTCTATGGATTGGTTTCGTCTGTGTTTGAACTTTACGTAAATGGAATCATATAATATGAACTCTGTGCCTGGCTTCTTTTCTCAGCATCACATCTGTCAGATTTGCCTGTGCTTTTGTGTAGGGCAGTCCTAATTCCTTGCTGAATGCCATTCCCTTAGAATCCTTGTCGATGGAGCTCTGGATGGCTGTGACTAGTGCTGCTATGAACATCTCCACTGTAGACCTGTGCAGGGCAGGCCTTGTGTCCTTGGGTAGATGAAAGGGGTGGGTTTTAGTGCTCAAGGGGAGGTGTTTGCCTTATATTGGATCAAGGACAGCTTTAACCCATGTCACAGGGAGGGCATGGTGTAGGAACACACCCAGGTAGGTTGGCACATGTGGGAGAAAGGGAACATTCTCATCTCATTGCTTGTCGTCAGCCAAGGAGGAGGAGGCAGGGTTAGACATTTGATAAAAGAATAGAAATCAGGAAATGGTCTCCTAGGAGAGTTAGGGCAGTGTAGAAATTGCTCAGGGCGCCGTTAGGCAAAGCGTTCAAGAACGTAGGGAGCTCAGCAGGGATGCATACACAGATAGGAAGCAAGCAGAATTCAACTTGAGCAGGGTTTCCCACATAAGTATGATAGAGGAAGAAAAGGGCAGGGGAGTTAGGATCAATATGCAAGAGAATGGTTTTAATATATAACCCAAGTGAATATAAAACCACAGACCAGGGGATCTAAATTGATGAGGAGGGAAGGGAGGACATGAAGGAATGAGGGACAACAAAGAGGGGGTAAGATTGGTAAATTTGTGTTTCTTTGGAAATACATCTTGATTTTGGTAATTCAAGTCATATCCCTACCCACTGGGCACCCGACCAGTCTATCCCCTGGAGTTGGATGGTGGAGCCCCAAGGAAGCCTTCCCAAATGGGGCGGCTGTTTGAGGGTAAGACAAGTGCTGTGGTCACCGTGTGTTGGGTCAAGAGTGTGAGCGGAGGATACATTTTCCTCTCGGTGGATGTGTTTTACCTCCACCCACTCCAGTGGGTTCCTGTCTGTTAATGAGGAAAAAGATGACCATGTTCTATTTTATTTTAGATTCTGATGTAGGAACTGGTGACGAGAAGGTGACTCTGCAGCCTGAATTTCTGAGGATGGATGTCCGCATACGACAATGTCAGGAACACTCACAGTGATGGAGCCCCCTGCCCCTGAGTCGGGGGGGGTTGCTGAACCCAGATTAGGGGGGCTTTTGGGAAACCTGGAAGGGCAGAGTCTGCAGAACTCCCTGTCTCAGGAGGTTGGTCTCAAGCAGGTGACAGTTACTCACTGGAGGATCCAAACAGGAGAGGCAGCCCAAGTGGGAAGTGAGTCAGGAGGCAGCCCAGTTCTGAGCTCAAACCTCCTCATCCTTCAGAGAGAACTTATAGAAGGGGAAGCACACCCATGTGAGACTTGTGGCAAAAGCTTCCCATTTACTTCAGACCAAGTTAGACATCAGATTTCTCATACTGGGGAGAAACCTTACAAATGTGACCAGTGTGGGAAAGGCTTCAGCCAGAGCTCCAACATTGCTGAGCACCAGAGCGTTCACAGCAGAGATAGACTCTATGTGTGTAATGCTTGTGGGAAAGACTTCGCTCACTATGCAGATCTCATTGAGCATCAGAGAGCACATGCAGGACAAAAGCCATTCAAGTGCACTCAGTGTGGGAAAGCTTTCTGTCACAGCTCAGACCTGATTCGACACCAGCGCGTTCATACCCTAGAGAGGCCTTTTGAATGCAAAGAATGTGGGAAAGGCTTCAGTCAGAGTTCGTTACTCATTCGACATCAGAGAATTCACACGGGAGAAAGACCCTATGAGTGTAATGAATGCGGAAAATCCTTCATTAGGAGCTCAAGCCTTATTCGACATTATCAGATCCACACAGAAGTGAAACAGTATGAATGTAAGGAATGTGGAAAGGCCTTCCGTCATCGCTCAGACCTCATTGAACATCAGAGAATTCACACTGGAGAGAGGCCCTTTGAATGTAATGAATGTGGGAAAGCCTTTATTCGGAGCTCAAAGCTTATCCAGCATCAGAGGATCCACACTGGAGAGAGGCCTTATGTTTGCAATGAGTGTGGGAAGCGCTTCAGCCAGACTTCAAACTTTACTCAGCATCAGAGAATTCACACTGGAGAGAAACTCTACGAATGTAATGAATGTGGGAAAGCTTTCTTCCTGAGTTCATACCTTATTCGACACCAGAAAATTCACACTGGAGAGAGGGTATATGAATGTAAAGAATGTGGGAAAGCTTTTCTCCAGAAAGCTCATCTCACAGAACATCAGAAAATCCACACTGGGGACAGGCCCTTTGAATGTAAGGACTGTGGGAAAGCCTTCATCCAGAGTTCCAAGCTGCTTCTCCATCAGATCATTCATACTGGAGAAAAGCCCTACGTGTGTAGTTATTGTGGGAAAGGGTTTATTCAGAGATCAAACTTCCTTCAACACCAGAAAATTCACTCTGAAGAGAAACTCTATGAATGTAGTCAGTACAGGAAAGATTTCAGTTCTCCGAACTTTAAAAATAATCAAGGTGTTCACCAAGAGAGACTTTCCCTGAGTAAAACCCCCATACATTTGGGTGAGAAATCTGTAAGTCAGAGGGAACATACAGATAGCTTATAAAGTATTCTCCAACTCAGTGATGTTTGGGGAGTGGCATGAGTCCTGAATCACGTGGCTTTGGACATGTCAGCATTTCCCAGAGTCATGGATGGGCCTGCTTTAGGAGTGGGCTGCCACCTATGTTTGCAGCAGTGCCGGATGGCTGTCGTCTGCTAGGAACATGTGTCCTCAGGAGAACCACCTGACGACAGCTGACTCTGAGCTGGAATAGTTTGGGGGCAGGAGCTAGGTCTTGAAAAGTTTCTAGATTTTACTGCACACAGTTCATCCCTGACTTAAATCCCCTTTGAAGGAGAACAATCCAGTCATTACTTTAAACAGTATTATGTAGCAATTTTGATCTATCAAAAAGGCAAGTTGGAGCCCTAGCCAGATTTGCTCAGTGGTTAGAGCGTCAGCCTTAGAACTAAGGCTTCTGGGTTCCATTCCTGCCAAGGGCGCATACCTCAGTTGCAGGTTCAGCCTGGTTGGGGCACGTGCAGGAGGCAACCAATTGATGTCTCTCTCACATCAATGTTTCTCCTCCTTCCAGTCTCTGAAAAGCAATGGAAAAAATATCTTCAGGTGAGGATTTAAAGAAAAGGCAAGTTAGTTGGAGAAGTACTTATTTAAAGCCACAGGTTGGTTCCCTGTGGTCCTTAGGACATTCTAAGCCTCCTTTCCTGAATCCTGAGGTCTTTTGCTTCTTGGAGCCGTGTCTCCTACCACCTAACTCAGTGTTGCAGCAACATTAACTGCTGTTCCTGAATCCAAGCTCTCCCTGCTTCCTTGCCTCCAGCCTTGTTTGAATGTCTCCTCACTTCACCTGGTTAACTCCTCATCATGAGTCAAGACCACTGTGGCATCATGTCATGCTCAGCCCTGTCCCCCTCTGGGCTTCTGTCCCTCAGTTCTCACCTGTTACTACACTTATTTTGATATATAAGAATTGTGTATGTGTGTATATATATCTTCCATTACACTGCTCATTCTTTAAGGACAATGGTAACATCTGATTGATTTGTGTGTCCCTTGTGTCTAGTGCAAGACGATAAAAAGCACACCCCACGTCTTTGTATGTGGTGCCTCTCCTACTTTGTCCTTCTGTACTGCTATTTTAAAACCCTTGGATTTTTGTTGTTGTTTTATAAACTGTAATCTACTGGTCTGTTGGAAATACCTTCTTTTTTAGCCCGGTTGATGTCTGCTGCTTGCCCTTAAGCCAGAAGTTGCAGGCAGTGGCCAGTGTAAGCCTAGTGCCCTCATATTTGCTGCCATCAGAGCTCAGCCATGACCATGCACTTTCTTTGGGGAGCATTGTCTTTCCTTAGTTGCCTATGCATCTTTCTGGTTCACTCCAGGGCATAGAGTCGCAGTGCACTGCATAACTTCTTTCTATCTTAGCAGTCCAGGACTGAACTCAACTCTTCTGTTACTCCCCGCCCTTTAGCTCATTTTGTCATTTATTTGAAAATGTATTGACCTGTAAGGACCAGCGGGAAGTCCTGGGAAAATAGGACTATCCAACCCGATGCCATTCCAAGTCTGATGGGGAAGCCAGATCATGGCACACTGAGCAAAATGTAGAAATATACGCATGTGTAGGAGCAGAGGCGAGGAGGTGACAGACGTAACGAAGATCTGCGACAGCTTCACAGAAGAGGTAGCATTTGAACTGGTCTATGGAGAAAAGTAGACATTTGTCAGAGAATAAGGAACTAAAGGAAATCTGAACAGAAACGGGGCATTGCAGATTCCTCTTGGTGGAGCTGTTCTGAAGCAGGCAGGTTTATTACACAGCGGGTAACTGCCTAGCGAGACCACGTTAGTTGTTGACTGAATTTTCTTTATATGAACATTAATCAAAACCACTTTTGAAATTGTATAAAATGTGTTTTTTCTTTTTGCCCATGAATGCATATTTTGAGTTAACAAATTCCAGCAACCCTAGAAGTCTCAAGGGAATAAATAGTTCAAAAAGGGCCTACAGTACTTTCTGGAGAACTCACCATTTGAAGTGTAGGTGGAGGTATTACTAGACCACCTTAATCAACTTTGTTGAGGTCAAGTTTCCACACAGTAAAACACCTGTTTTAAGTGTACAGAGTTTTAATGTACACCCGTGTAACCACCTTCATAATCAGAAAAAGAATATTTCTATCATCCAAAGGCTCCCTTTTGCTGTTTCTCAGTTAATCCCACCCCAGCCCCATGTAACCACTTTCTGTTGGTGTAGAGAAGCTTTGCTTTTTCTAGGACTTTATATAAATGGACGCATGTACTATGTAATCTTTTACGTCTCACTTTCATTTTGGCATGTTTTAAAGATTCCACCCAGTGTAGTTTTGTGTTATAGTAGCTCTTTGCTGAGTCATGTTTGATTGTATAGATAAACCATTTATTCATCTGTTGTAGAAACTTGAGTTTCCAGTTTGGACTATTAAGAATAAAACTGCTATGAGCATTTGTATAAAAGTATTTATTTGGACATGCCTTTTATTTTTCTTGGGTAAATGACTAGGAATTTAATTGCTGAGTTATAACTGCGTTTTTAACTTTATAAAAAATTGCCAGCCCTGGCCTGTGGCTTGGTTGGTTGGAGTATTGTCCTATACACCGAAAGGTGGTGGGTTTGAGTCCCAGTGGGGGCACATACCCAGGTTGCAGGTTCGATCCCCAGTTGGGGCGCGTGCAGGAAACAGACAATAGATATTTCACTCTCACATTGATGTTTCTCCCTCTCCCTTCCTCTCTCTAAAAAATCAATAAAAGCATGCCCTCAAGGATTTAAAAAGATTGCCAAAAATTTCTCCATACTGACTGTACCATTTTATACTCCCACCACAGTGTGTCAGGGTTCCAGCTGCTCCATATCTGCACCAATACTTGGCACTGTCACTCCTCTAACTCCATCCCAGTGGAGTTTGTGTCTTCTGCACCAAGTGGTGGTGCTGAGTACCTTCTTACGTGCATGTTGCTGTCCGTATGGTCCCTGTGATATGTCCACGACTTTTGGGTGGTTTGTCTTCTTATTATTGACTTGTAAGACTCTTTTGAGTATTCTAGATGAAAGTCTTTTTCCAAATACAGTCTTTGGCCTTTTCATTTTCTTAATGGCACAGTGACTGTGGGAGAGCCTTCAAGCAGAAAGTCAACCTTCTCCAGCATCAGCTGGTGCCCAGTGGGAGAGGCCTTTCTGCTGTGTGGACTGCGGGAAGCCTTCCGTACCAATGAGCACTTTTGCCACCACCGGAGGCCCACCGTGGGGAGATGCCTTACATGTGCGACCAGTGTGGCAAGGCCTCCCAGTGGTCCAAGGGCTTCAGTATCCACCAGGACTGCACCTGACCAGGAGGTCCTACGAGTGCAACTGCTGCAGGAAAAGCTTCCACCACCTAGGCTTCTTCACCAGGCACCAGAAAGCCCACAGGAACAGACAGGGCTAGGAGCCCCACAGCATGTGTCTGCAACTGTCTGGTACTGTAGTAGCTGGGCGCTCCTAACAATGTGGCAGGAAGAAGACTTCTTATTTCTAGAATCGCAGGAAAGCTACCATCAGAGCTCCCTAGATCCCCTGAGCAGCTCTGCCAGGAGAAGTGGGTCCAAGGAGCATGGCAGCCCCTGTACCAGCAGGCTCAGTGTAGAGGCACAACCCAGCCAGTTGAGCCCTAGAGTCCAGGCCAAGACAGGGAGGACCAGGCAGGCTCCCTCCCTGTCCACATGGCCTTCCTTAGCAGGTTGGGATGCTGCCAGCACTCACCTCGTGCCCTGATGCACCTCACCTGCCCACTGCCCTGCTCTCTGGCCACTGCTCATGTTGGCATGTGCTCTAGCCCAGCCTACTTGGGCTCACTGTCCCCTCTGAGGGGTCTCCCCATATAATCTTGGTGCCTGGTGTCCCTCCTACCCCTGCTGAGATGACTGGAAGCTGAACGGGGTCAGTGGCTCTTTTTTGGCAGGGGACATGGCTGCGAGTGGGCTTGTTCTGATCTCTGGCTTAGAGATCTTGGGGAAGAGCTCCAGGCCACCAGTGACAGGGAAACCCCCACAACACCAGCCTGATGAGCAGTGATGACCTGGGGCAGGAACCACAGAGCAGTAGGCAGGTGGTGAGAGGACAGAGGATGGGTGTCACAGTCAGAGGGGGGCTCAGACTGTCCCTTGCACTGCTGGGCATCCCACACGGCCACGCTCCGGCCTGCAGGGTGGCACTCTTCTCCACCCGCACGAGTAGTCAGGACAGCCACTGGCTGGGCCAGACCAGGCCTGAATTTGAGCAGCTTGTTTAGAGGGACAAGCCAGAAAGCTGTGCAAGGAATAAGGAGCTAGCATAAGGACTTTTAAAGTAAACTCTGAAGCATAGCATACATACAAATATGTCCCAAATGGTAAGTATGCAAGAGAATGAATTTTCACAAAGAACGTAACAGTGGCCAATCTATGAGTGATGTGGTTGTCCATAGGTTCTAAACCTGGAAGATGTGATGGAAATAGAAAGTGTTCTCAGGGTTAGGGGAGAGGTAAAGATAGGATCTTCATGAATTATGAGCTTAAATGTGCACGCTAACATTTTTCAGATGACCACTGAAAAAGAAGAGTATGATTTCCACAAAGTAGAAAAGCAAGCGAAATGGGGGAGGGGTCCAGCTGAAACATAAAATAAGAAAATTCAGAAACTATGACATAAACTGATATAAAGCAATACTGCTATTAATACTGCAACTCAACCAGTATAAACTAACTACACTCTAGGGTAAAAAACAAAGATTGTCAGACTGTATTTTACAATTTAAGAACCATTTATACGTTTCTAGGGATGCATGTGAAATATTGACACCCATAGAAAAGGGTGTACAAGACAAAGCTGGAGCAGCCCCAGTAATAGCAGACACGCTGTGGGCAGACGTAAAGAACACTGCAGGTTGGTAAGACGTTCAATTCACAAGAAGAGCTAGTAATTCTAAACTCATATGCAACTAATAATTGCTTCAAAATACATAAAGTCAATACATGACTACAAGGAGAAATGAACAAATGTCTACTCTTGCCCAGCCAAGCGTGGCTCAGCGGTTGAGCATTGGCCTAGGATCTAGGAGATCGGGGTTTGATTCCCGGTCAGGGCACATGCCCAGGTTGCGGGCTGCAGCCGATCAATGACTCTCTCATCATTGACGTTTCTGTCTGTCTCTCTCTCCCTTCCTCTCTCTGAAATCAATAAGGATACATTAAAAAAAAAAAAAGTCTACTCTGAGTGATGTTTCTCAGGCACTAATTCACAGGAGCACTGGGCTAGAAGGTGCTGAGGACCCCAAATGACAGGGTTTGTACCTGCTTCCTCTATGTGGTTCACTCATGTTACGCTGTTCCCAGCAAACAGGACCTTCATCTTGAACCTGTGCTCTGAACTCCCATCACGGGGCCCAGGCCCAGTCCCTGTTTCCAATGCCATCCCATCCCAAGGGCCATCCCATTTGGAACATCAGGTCCACTGCCTGGATGCCACAAGGTTGTGCCCACCCCTACCAGCATTGTTCCCATGCTGGTCCTGCCTCTCCCACACTGCACTCTCCTTCAAAGACCCAGTTATTTAAAAACCTTCCCTCTGCCCTTGTCGGTTTGGCTCAGTGGTTAGAGTGTTGGCCTGCAGACTGACGGGTCCCGGGCTGGATTCCAACCAAGGGCACGTACCTCGGTTGCAGGCTCAATCCCCTGTGCTGGAGGTAACCAATCAATATGTCTCTCTCACATCGATGTTTCTCTCTCTCTCCCTTCCACTCTCTCTGAAAAGCAATGGGGAAAAATATCCTCAGGTGAGAATTAAAAAAATAAATGAATAAATAAAACCCTTCCCTCTGTGCTCAGGATGAAGTCACTGCCCTGGGGCCAGCACCCCCAGAAAGCCAGGCAGCCCCCTGGTACAGCCACTGATGAATACACACCACACCTAAGGGACATCTTAACCAGCCTCTGCACACTGGGACTGACAACTAAATGTGGTGCATGACCCTGGCACAACAGTGGCCACCAAGGGCACCGTTGAGACAGTTAACATTTTAATGTGAACAGAGGATTAGCTAATACTATTTTCTCCATACTAAATTTCCTGACTCGGATCACTGGGTTGTAGTAATGTAGGAGAATGTCCCTGTGCTCGAGAAACACTATAAGGAGTTAGAAGTGAAGAGGCATGACCTAGCGAACCTAATCTGCAATGTACAGGGGTGGGGGACAAGCACACACACACCAAAGGGGTAGAAAGCAAACTGCTGGTGAACCTGGATAAATGGTATAGGAGACTTCACTGAACTATTCCTGCAACTTTTCTCTAAATTTGAAATTATATAAAAAATTACCCAACCCCCACAAGGGATTAAACAGAAAACCTCCCTTGCTTCCTGTGGTGCTTTCAACCGCAGGTGGCACCACACTGGCCCTCCTGACCACAAGGCCCAGTCGCCCAGCTTCCCCTGGCCCACCAGGTTCCTTTCCTGCTCCCCACTATCTGTCCGTGCCGGGATGTCCGTCTCTGCCACCGTCAGCCCTAGTGGGCAGGATGCTGATGTCCGGGACCTTCCCAGGCCCTGGCCCCCTGCAGGAGCAGCCAGAGATCAGCCCCAGTGTGGAGGGATGCTGGATCCCAGCTGACACACAGGGTGAAGGGTGCATCCAGCTACCTTGCAGCCTGGAAACTGGAAGCTTGAATAAGTGGTCCCGGAGCTGACAGGAAATGCTGAAGCAGCAAGGCGGGCGTCCAGGGAGGCGTGTGTGTGAGGGGGTCACACTTTTATTAACAATTGCACTCCCCAAATACGAGTCCTGCACACCGCCCCGCCCCCCCTTCCCGGTAGGTTCAGGCCGCAGCGTCCGTGTTCGCGGTCTCCTTTGACTGGCTCGATCCTGGGACAGGGTGAGTGATGGTCTGTGAAGCCACACGCACTGAAGACCGTGAAGATTTCCGGGAGCCGGGGCGGGACAGGGCCAGGGACGGGACCCGGGAGCCCGCTTGCGACGAGTCCTGGGATGGGACTTGCGAACCTGCCTTCGGAGAGGCCTGCGACAGGGCCCTGGAGCCCACACGCAACGGGGTCATGGGCGGGATCCTGGAGCCCACGCTCGAAGACGCCTGAGACGCGTTCCGGGAAGCCACGCGCGAGGGGCCCGGGGGGGAGACG